AGCTTGTAAGCTATTTCCATAATAAAACTTTGACTTTGACTTTGACTTTGCATCTAATCAACAAAACATGGGATTATCGCAATGATTCTTTGAGGCTCGTCAGTCTTGAATCAACTCCCCGAAGTGCACAAAAGAGATTTGCTTGACCAAATTTAAATTGCATAATAAGTACTTACATTGTGTGTTGGTCAATAGAAACAGTAGTTTCGTCTTTCTCCGGACTCATTTTAGTGTATATTATTCCTCTATCTGCATCGAAACTTGAACAGCAAACAGTCGAGTTCTACACTGAAGCTTAAGGTACATCGAAATTTCGTGCATTAACCCGTATATATAGCTCGAGGGTTTCGGCTCCTAACCGGGAGATTTGTGGTTCCAATTAGGCTTGGCTACAAAAAGGGGTGTATTTACTGGTGACAAGTTGGACCAGAAAGGCGAAATAGCTGTCGGGTACTTTAGTCCACACAGAGTTTCTACCTCTGATACATTTAATTGAATAAGTATTGCCTCGCATTCATTGCGTTATTTCTAATACCCGCGGTATTTCAGCCTGTACTTGTGTTCTACTTAGCTTGAACTCACGGTTTTTAGTCTTCAATAATCTTTTCAATTTCATAGTTATCTATACCTTTTTCAGTTTAAGATGTCCGAAATCCAATTCAAGATGTCACAATATGAATTTAAGATATCCGAGTAACAACTTAAGATGTCATGCTGCTATGTTTTCATTGTGCAAGGTACTATCCATATAGACACCTTAAATTGATACTCGGACATCTTAAATTCATATTGTGACATCTTAAATTAGATTTCAGACATCTTAAACTGAAAAAGGTATAGACACATTCTAGTTACTAGTCCCTAAACTCATCCGGACAGTCGGTGTTGCTTGGAGGTTGAGGAAGTGATGAGCGGGTCATAGTCCAGTGGTGTAGTGTATCACATATCTTCACACTTGATACAGCAAGACAAGATCCGATCAAACTTTGATTGGGCTTGTCACGTGATCGAACGAATTAGTGAGCGAATGAATCGTTAATGGCCTTCGCATATGGTCTGACAATGCCCCTAGAGTAAGAAATCTCAGCAAATGACTTTGTGGTCTGGTGGAAATACATGGTCGTCGTTGAGACGTGCCTTGTTGCCTCTCGGTGAAACAAAATTGATGCCGAGGCTAAATAATAACGAGAAACGTTGTAGATCCAACAAAAATAGGATTATTCATTTTTGTAATCAGGCTCTCATTCCATTTTTCCAGGACCGAAAATTCAACGAAGTCACATTGGACGCCTGTCGACACTGTTCTTCAATTTGAGTGAGTTTTCCTGAATAAGGTATTCGGTCACTCCCCAGTATTGTATCTGAAGTGTTTCTAAAAATTGTTTGCCAACCATAATCAAAAGACCCAACTATTCCTTCTGAACGTTGGATTGTTCATAATTCCGATTTCTGATCTTTAATCCGCTAAGTGTACACTGAACGGAAGCATGATTGCGCAATGTATCTTGAATATAATCACCACACAGAACAGCGGCTCCTTAGTTGTCTGGTTTCATGATTGGCAGGTTTAACACGATAAAACAATGCGAAAACTTATCATCCTCGAACCGCCACCGCGCCCCAAATATTGTAGGAAATACTAGACTCCTCAGCATGGACCGACCGATAGTTGAATCATTAACAGCAGGAAGCAGGCAGTTTGAACACCGAAGCATGACAGTTTTCCCACTATTTATAAATATTCTTCATAAAACGCCAATGTCAAACTATTATTTCCAGTTGGTCTTCAAATGAGAAAATCGATAGTTTTCCATCATGCGATACTGTTTTTTCGTGCAACAAGAATTATCGGTAGTGGCGATCGTTGAAGTGTTTTGAGTCATCGCTTAAGAGAATTTGGCGATCTTTAAGATCCACTGTCATTCACTTTTAAACGATAAAAACAGCAGTTGTGTTGCAATGAAGTAACTACTAGATTTCAGTGTGACAACAAATGTGACTGGGATTTATTTCCCACATGCATGATGACTTAATAATCCTACGCTGTTTTCCCACAATTTTTTGTCGTTAATCAAACGTTCCACCTATAGTCAGAATGGTCTCTTTGATTGCCAGTCGTATTAAGAAACGAAAGTGATCTGCTTCTTCTGCGGCGATACCAGACAAATAGAATATAGCCTGAAAGTGTCATACTAACTGGATGTGAGTGTGTGCGGATAACAGTGACGCCTATATCGATCGAACATGATCAATTAGTGTCTTTTCGCATCCCCTCAAGGCGCTACTCGTGTGATGAGGATAATCAGTGTCTCAAGCGCATACCAATTGAAGTTTGATTTGGGAATTTAGCATTTTGAATTGAGAACTTACCACTATCGTGCATAATCCATTGATGTCAGCAAAACGTGCCCGATATG